AGATGGCGACAACAGGCAATTCAGAACCGAAAATGGTCATGAATGTCTGATGACGGGGTCTACATGAAGTTCGGTGCTCCAATCGACAGGTTAACACGAGTTAAGAAAACGCCGCGCCCATCGCCGCGCGCGGCGGAGCGGCAAATTACGATTCTCTTGCCCGTCTCCCAAGAATTTTATGGCGTCAAAACAGTACTTCGACATTGGCGGCTTCCGTGCGGAGACATTCGGTCGATAGAGGCGTTGTCTGAAAACGGTAGATCTTCGCTGAGATCTAAATATATCGTGTTGCTGTCCAAGAGAGTAATTTTGAAACATTGCGGACTACAGGCTGCACATGGTGCCCGCTCGAGACCACCTGGTGACGAATTGTTTCGCTTGATTTATGAGGTAACTCCATATGTTCCGTGTTTGGGAGAACAACACGGTTTCGCAATCGGAAAACAATTGGTTCAGTTAATGGAGTTACACTCCATAATCTGGTAATGGAGAGGGCGTGGCTGCGTGCTTCTCTTGAGCATGACGTAAAATATGTAAAACACGTTTTTCATGGGATATTTCCATTGGGGACGACTGCCATCCTGCCTTGTGCTGAACGTAGACATGGTAATGAATGTCCCAAAACGGCATTGTGCCACCAAAAGCGCGGCCGTCACAACGCTCAAATAATGTACGCAGCCACGATTGAACAAAGAATGTGAAGTGATTCTAAAATGCAGGAATTACAACGGTGCGCAATGACTTATTCAGCGCAATTTGGTAACGGGGGGGGGACTTTGCACTTTCGCTGCTTCACTAGTTCCGGTTTACAAGTCTCACTCTGGTGAAACCTGTGAACTCTTGTGAAGCTGGAGCAAGCTCGTCTAGCCACCATGGAAAGAACCTGTCAACTTTGTAAGCTCACGAAATGACTCTCTAGATGGGTCGACACGTCGATGGGAAGTAGCAAAAGTGCAAAATGCACCCCCGTCGTCGCACTGCCCCGCTCATTCCATGTATAATCCGAGCCAGTAGGCTTCTTTACAGCGCTGACATTCAGGAGCGAAGAGAAAATGGCAGCAATGCATTGCATAGATATTGATCGCCTCCGATCTTGTACGTCATGGTGTACTCATTGCCAACGGCTTTCTCTTCAGTTCTCGTTTTCATTCCTCATCCCACTTACTCATCACTGTTGACTTTCTACTCAGTCATACTGTAAAGCTCGATCAATTGACGAATTCCGCCTTCAAGACGGTGAATAAAGCTTACCTCTCTCGTTCCCTTGCTTCAGCAGCTTCTCGTTCAGCCTGTTCACGCTGCAAACGCTTCTCCTCTTGTTCTCTGGCTTTTCGCAGCGCCTCCTGAGCTTTTCTGTACTCCAGTGCACCTGAACACTCAAAGTACCCTATTTCTCAAATGTCAACGGGCGTGGAAAGAGCCTACCCGTTACGTTTTCTAGCTCTCTCTGTCCTCTAGGTGAACCGGCCACTATTGGTAGGAAACGCGG